AGAAAACTGATATCCAGGGAAGTTAAGAAACTTACCCTGTTCCAAGTCCTGTGGCCTGCAAGCGGCAAAGCCACCAAGGATCTGAATATGACCTTTACATTAATAGCCTCCTAACAATGACATTAAATGTTTAAAGTGTGTAGTACAGAACCTGGCACAGAGTGGGCACTTAATATCGCTCTCATCCTGACCCCAGCCTAAATCAAACTGCAGGGGTAATCAGAGTAATCCAAAATACCACACACACACACACACACACACACACACACACACACACACACACACATTCAAACAGGGCGAGGTAGTCCTAACAAAGAGCCTCCATCTGTTCCCTGCCCTCCTGGCTCTCACCAACTCAACTCTTTCCGAATACAAATACTCACAATTTCACCCATTAAAAGGGCTGAGCAGGCAAACTCATCAACAACTTGGTGATGGTGGTAGGCACTCCACAAAGATGACCCTCAATAAACCACACCTTCTTCTATTCACAACCTTAGGTAATCACCTTCCATTGATCTTGGCTGTCCCGTGACTCACTCACAACCCACAGAATGAGCCAGAACTGACCCCAAAGGACCCTGAAAGTCAAATTAGAAAAAGCCTTGCAAACTGTGCTTCGGTCTATTGGAGCACTCGCTGTGAGGGGAATCAGCTGACAGATAAGAAGTCTGACTACCCTGAGACCATCACACTGTGTAGAAGCCACATGTTGAAGCTGTTGGAGAGAGAGATGCCCAACCAGCCCTCAGGTGTTCCAGCCTCAGAGCCGGACCTGTAGGCCATGAGGCCTTCAGACGCCCCCAGCCTCCGCCTCCGACTGTACTCACATGAAAGACCCCAACAAGCAAAAATTGCCGGTCTGGACCCATCAACCTCCAGAACCGTGAGAGACCATGATAAATCACTGTTGTAAATCACTACATTTTGGACTGGTTTTCACACTGCAGTGCATAAACAGTGATCATGCAAGCACTCCAACTGGCTTTTCCGCAATGTGTTTTTTAGTTAATAATCACTGAGTTTCCTTAGATATTACCTATCCATTCCGAAATGTGCAGTCAGCATGCTCTTTTTTTCCCTCTATCCATACTGGGAATGGTAATAACGTACACTTTATCTAATATTTCAAAATTACCACCTATCATGATACCCAGACAAAGAATATTTTCTTTCTCCTTTTTCAGGAAATGGTTAAAAACGAACTTAATAATGAACATTTTCCAAGCAACGTTCTACTCCAGAACTCATGGGAGTTATAAAATCACCCAAAAGTACGAGGGTGAAATGGCTCACCCTTTAAATTCTTTATACCTTGAGGTCTTTGATTTAAATCATTATTTTAAAACAATCAAACCACACAGTGCACTTAATAAAGCATTATTATTTAAGGGAAAAGGATAAAACTTTCCAAATGCAAATGTTTAGCTGGAGATTCCAAGACATTAGTCAGGAGATGGATTGCCTTGCTATTGCAAGTCTGGGTTACAATATCACTGGAACCAAATTCCCATCAGATTAGTCTTTACTCAAAATGAATGTTTGTAATTACGAAATGAAATAAGTTTTAATTTGAATTGACTAAAAAGGGGAAACCAAATATTGTGTAATTACAGGAGAAGAAATTTGAGATGGAAAACAAGATAGTGTTATTTACAAGTAAAAAGGCTTTTATGGGATTATGAGACTTTAATGTGCATATTTGTAGGATTGGGGGTGGCAGAATTTGGAACTAAAATATTTTTCATCAGCGTTTATTTACAGTGTGCATGCAAGAAATGGAATCCCAGACACATCTGATATTGGATTTATTTAAACCTTTCATATCCCTCCTAAATCTGAAAAGACTCAAATGTTAGCCACACATAATGGAAGTAATCGTGGAGTGTGATAAAATAAGTATTTGAAAGCCACATGCAACTTTTAGTCTCAAACCCAGAACTATAAAATCCACCTAGAGACATAATGAGCCTGACTCGCCTTCTTGCAGGAGGAAAAGCTGTGAGGGGGGAAGTAGGTCCTTATTCTCCCTCCACAGCTTGGGGCACCTGAGTGGAGCCTCCAAATGGCTCATAAATGCTTTACTGTGAAGACCGCCCACAAGTACTAGGTTGCCTCTCTGTAGGGCAGTCATGTTTCGGCCTCCACACATCTGTGACTTACACTTCTCCCATCCTCTCCTAAAGCCCCACTTCTCACACCCAGAGCCTACGACCCTAGGACCACAAATTGGTCCCGGGTATCTTTCCCACAGCCTGCACCACTCAGCTTTATAGCTCTGAACCTTTCTCCCTCACCTTTTCTGGAGTAAAGCCTTCCTACTGAGGTGGAGACATTTCTCTGGGGGGGACAATTTTATTTACACTAAACTGCCGTTCCCAGAGATACTGGCTCCTTACAAGGTACGGCAAAGACGGTCCACAGTTCACCAAATGTTTATTCCTCTTATTGCACAGTTGTTTCCGGAAAGTTGTTGGCCAGCCAGGTACTCTGTTTCCCAGACTCCCAGACACACCTTGGTCAGGTGTGGCCATGTGAATGAGTTCTGGCCAATGAAATAGAGACAGAAATGATAAGTGCTACCTGAAGTCTGGCCCATGAACACTTCCCAGACAGCTCTTCTCCACGAACTTTTCCTCATTCAGCTGACTGCAAGGGAGACAATCCCCAGGGTGATCTGACAAACCTCCACTAACCTGGGATCCTGAATGACCTCATGGAATAGGGCCACCCCATGTACATGTACATACACGCCCTCCCAATGTGGTTAAATACACATTTGGGTCTCTCTCTCTCTTTTCATTTTTTTTAACTGTAATCATACTACCCTAAACACTACTTAATCCAAAGGAATCATTCCTTAATGACAGGTTTTGGAGGGTGGAAGAGACTTTCCAATTCCCTGCAAATCACCTAGTTTAGAAGTTACCTACATACAGAACCATTTTGATAGACCTCCAGCAAGAGCTTGCTATCCTTCAGTCACTTGTGTACGGGTGCCCACACATGTCAGTTAGAGACTCTGCTCTCTGGCTGCCCTCCTGCCCAAGGACCTTCTTCTACCTAGTTCATCACTGTTTACTCTCAGTTGTCACTTCTGAGACTCTGATTTTTTTCAATGAGCTTTCCCAGCATTTCAATTTAGAAATTCACTAATCAATAAAAATCTCCTGTGTCATGATCTCATCATTTTTTTTCATTTGTCATTCATTCATTCATTCGTTCAAACACTTATTCAATACAACAAATATCAAGTATTGTACTAGGCACTGACTGGACATACACAGCTACGGTCCATTGACGCCAGGAAGTGAAGGAATGGTTGTGAACAACTATCTAGGTAACAGTATAATAATTACCATCAGAGCTGAATTTATTGAGCCCATGCCAGACACTTTGCTCAGAACTTGGAACTGCTTATTTAATCATCTCAGTACCCTGTCCTCATGCTACAGATAGAGAAATCAAGGCTTAGAGATGTTAAACAACATGCTGAAATTGCACGACTATCAGGGTTGAGGTTTAAACCAAGTTCCGTCTGATTCCAAAGTCATTTACTAACTGTGTGCCTTTGGGCAAATTAGTTAAATACCTACCGTATCTCTCCATTTCCAATCTGAAACGCCATCAGTCACAAAGAAGTTTCTGCAGAGAGTTTAATGGCAGGGCAGAGACGTTTACACTCTCACTGCCCATAGTATATTTTAAGAATACTACGTGTCAAAGTCTGAACAATTTTCTTGCTTCTGAAATGCCAGTGGAGGATGGAGGAAGCTTAAATAAATATTTACAATATTCATATTATGAGAGACTTTTCCAGATGGTGCATCTTGAAACGCTGATTGCCTTCACACCAACTGAGACCCCCCAGTGAAGTCATCTCAGACTTCATTTTTGCAACCTAAAACAGTTGTGATGAGGTGATCACCGATTATCACGTGACACTAGGGACTCCTGTTCCAGGTGCTCATGTGAGCATGACTGTGGGGTCTGGAGAGGCCCAGATAGAGGGCCTCCTGCCTAAGTTTCTGGGCTGTGAGAGGTACCGCGTCACGAGCCCACTGGGAACCTGACTTGGACGCTAAATGTGCGCTCGAGCAAACCCCTGCACGCCAGGTGCTTATTCAGGCTTAGCCACTGAGTGATAGGTGAGCATCCCCTGGAGAACGGAGAAATCCACATTTGGAAGAGACTTGGAGACTGTACTCTAAAAGGAGCCAAGAGAAAGGCTGCCAGACAATTAGGAAGAAAGCCGATCTGTGCCGTAGATGGAGGACTAAGGCTCACTTGGGGTCTTCATTTCCCAAATGACAGCTCCGGTGGCTGGAGTCAACTTCAGCTCCCAGAGATGGACGAAGTGAGTGCAGAAAAGAGTGTAACCAAAACAACAACGTTTGTCAAAAGAACCTGTAACACCCACTGCTCTCTAAGCAAAGTGGAGTTTGTTCATGAAAAGGAATTCTTTTTTTTTTTTTTCAGCTGAGTTAGGTTGTAAAGTTGTTAAGTTGGAGACTTCTGGAGTCAGACACTTAAATTTAAATTTTTCCTTTACTACTTTTTAGCTGTGTGATGCTGGGAAAGTTTCTAATCCTCTCTAAACCTCAGTTTCCTTGACTGTAAATGTGACTAATAATTATACCTACCTCACAGGGTTAACAATAATTAAGCTCCATGTAAAATACTTAACAAAGTGCCTGGAATTTGGCCAGGGGCTCAGCAACTTCATGTATTTGTGCAGCAGATTTGAGACAGGAATCAAAGAGATGAGTTGCTCGAAAACAACAGTTCTCAAAAGTTTGGGTTCCAGGACCCCTTTATTAAGACCCCCAAAGAGCCTTTGTTTATGTAAATTGTATCTCTCAACATTTGCCACAGAAGAAATTAAAACCGAGAAACACTCTTAAATATTTATAAACAATAATAATAATAAATTCAGTATATGTTTGTATAACATTTTTATGAAAAATAACTATATTTTCCAAACATAATTTAGTGAGAAGAGTGACATTGTTTTACATTTTTTACAAACTTCTTTATTATCTCCCTTAAAAGAATCAGCTGGATTCTCATATCTGCTTCTCATTTGATGAGTTGTTATGTCGCTTTCACTAACGTATGTGAAGAAAATCCAGCCTCACAGAGATGTGTAGCTGGAAAGGGAGGGGAACATTATTAGCCTTTTCATATAATTGTGGATAGTCTTCTTTGATGCAGCACCAAAGCTCTACAAGTGGTAGTTTTTTAGAGGTCTGTTGCAATGAAGAATCTAAAACTATATAAATAAACTTACTTCTTGAAGTCTCTTGCACTCTGAACGGTTCTTTCATTTAGGCATGATTTTGTAACATCATGCGTTGGTCATTTGGAAAATATTGGTTCAAATGAATGTTGACACATTTCATTACAGAATGTCATCACACGTCATAACTCCTGGGATACTCCACCGTACACTTGTGAGAGAAAGGGAGTGAAAAAAGCAAGCAGTCACTTAGTGTCATTAAGGTCTGACCTCACAGACCCCATGAAGGGACCTGAGGGACTAGGGTGTCTCTAAGACCACACTTTGAGAATTGTTACTTTAAAGCAACAAAAGAAAAACAATCTATTTGAGAGAGAAATCTGGGACAGTCAAGACTAACAGAATCTGAAGGAAGGTCCTAAGCGAAAACATGCCCACCCACTCCCACCCTCACCCCCAGCAAGTGGTAGAAAAGCTAAGGGAGTTTGGGGAAGGGATATACATACCTAATTGATGTTTTTAAGGTGTTTTTTTTGGGGGGGTGGGATTTGTTATATAAACCACTCTTCTATCTTCCTTGAGAAAGCTTCAGAAACTAATGTTGTCATACAAGTGAATTCTTTAGCAGGAAATCAAAAAAGATGCTAACTTTTGTGACCTGGTCTGTGCAGCCTGGGGAAAGCCTTCTTGGACACTGAACCCCAGAGCAAAGATGAATGGTCTGAGGATTTGCAGAAATACAGGGTGGCGTGGGGAGCAGACATTTGCGGGAAGAGGACTTCCCCTGTCTGGGGAAGTAGGAGTTTGAGGGGATCCTATCTGGTTGTCAAAATCTGAGTGCCTCTAGCTGACAGCTAGGGTAGTGGACTTAAAAGGTCAGCCTGTCCTTCAACTTTGGATAGGCTGCTGGGACCTCAGCCAGTCACCTTTACCCAGGAGAAAACACCCTTCTCCTATTACAGGGGAGTGACTATAGCAGGTAAATTGAGGCCCAAGTGGATTTTGTCCAGAACAAGGTGGGGGCAGTAAAAGAGAATCTCCATGTGGAGAATGGAAGTCAATAAGTCCTTGATCCCAGGGACTGGGGTCCAGTCTGGCCCTGACCAAGAAAGATTAAAATCAGCAGGTCTTAGAAAGACCTAAACCATGCATTCTTAGCTGGGACCAATTTTGCTCCCAGGAAACAGTTGGCAATGTTTGGAGACATTCTTGCATTGTCACAAGCCGCTGGGGAGGAATATTACTGGCCCCTAGTGAGTAGAGGCCAAGGATGCCGCTAAACATCCCACAGGACAGTGCAACGATAATTATCCAGCCCCAAATGTCAACAGCACCGAAGCTGAGAAACGCTGACCTATGCCAATCATTCCCTGGGATGCTCTGGGCCCGGCAATCCTGACCTACATTTCCCCCTTCACAATGGAGAAATATTTTCAACAGCCTTTCAGAGTTGTATGGGCTAATGGGATCAAAGACCAGATGCTCAGTTATCCCCATGTGAGGGGTCACAGAGAAAGAATTAGGGAGGACAAGATGGAGAATATGTCACAAATACCAGAGATACTAAGAAGCTTGGCTTTAGGCAAACCGCCTTCTGTAGCCTGAATCCCCATCCCCCTATCCCCGCCATCCTGACACTCCGGGCTCCCAAAACCTCATGGTCTTTCGTCCTTGCAAACCTGTTCCTGGGAAATGAGTGAATGTTGGTTCTTCCAGATGCAGGATGGAAGTAAATTATCATGGTTCCTCTCTCAGGGATATTGGCATTTTAAGTCACATTGTCAACTGTGTAATGTGAGTCCTTTTTTCTTGGGTGGGGGGGGGGGCAAAATATATTATAAGTAATATAAGTATAATATAATATTTATATAATAAAGTATGAGGCCATGGCAAGTAGGTAGGGGAAGGTCTAGGGTTTAGGGCTAGAATGTAGCAGAGTGGCGATCCCCAGCCTTTTTGGCACCAGGGGCCCGTTTTGTGGAGGACAATTTTTCCACAGACCGGGTTGCGGGGGAATGGTTTTGGGATGATTCAAGCAATAAATGTGCATTACATTTATTGCACACTTTATTTCTATTATTATTACATTGTAATATATAAAGAACTAATTATACAACTCAATATAATGCAGAATCAGTGCGAGCCCTGAGCTTGTTTTCATTTGCCACTCACTGATAGGGTCTTGATATGAGTCTGCAAGCAATTGATTTATTATGGTCTCTGTGCAGGCAAACGTCTCTGCTAATGATTATCTGTATTTGCAGCCGCTCCCCAGCGCTAGCATCACTGCCTCAGCTCCACCTCAGATCATCAGGCATAGATTCTCATAAGGAGCGTACAGCTTAGATCCCTTGCATGTATAGTTCACAGTAGGGTTTGCACTCCTATGAGAGTCTAATGCCGCCACTGATCTGACAGGAGGCAGAGCTCAGGAGGTAATGTGAGCGATGGGGAGCGGCTGTAAATACAGGTGAAGCTTAGCTCACTCACCCGCCACTCACCTCCTGCTGTGCAGTCCAGTTCCTAACAGGCCATGGACTGGTACTGGTCTGTGGCCTGGGGGTTGGGGAGCCCTGTAGCAGAGGGTTCCTTATTGGTAGCCTTGAAAGCACACCATGGAAGACAAAGTAGTAATGAGGATAATAGTAGCCGCTTATATTTACTGGACACTTGCTATGGACACACACCGTTCTTATCACTTTACCTGTATCAACTCAATCTTCGCAACAGCCCATTGAGGTAGCTACTATCATCATCATTTTATAAATGAGGAAACTGAGACACAGACTAAAACACTCACTCCAAGTCCACTAGCAACTGAAGAAGTAGGAGTTAAACCCAAACAGCCTGACTACAGAGAAGAGCCTGGGCTCTTAACTCCCCCTGCTCGCTGCCCCTCATGCTATAAAAAGAACTCCACCTGGGAGGAATGGGCCCCACACTGCACTAGAAGTGTGTCTGGGCAAAAGCCAAACTCCACTAGGGATTATGGTTTCCTGCTTTACGAAGTGATAGGATTGGACCAAGCAATCACTCAATTCCCTGAAGTCACAAATGTTCAGTGATTCTTATGGTCCAGATACAAAATTTCAAAATAAGTAGACTTCATCTTATCTCTGGTGCCATTTCTCCTGAGCAATACAGTTGGGTTTGGGTCATACACAGCAGTCTTTTAGGAAACTCTAGCAATGAGAACGCCACCCTACAGGAATCCCCATTGCCCTCCTCTAGAATTATCCCTTTGTTCTAGGATTGGCTTGGCCACCAGAACAAAACCCCCATTCCCTTATTTGGTGGATCTCTTTGGGGTAAGAGAAAGGAAAGCAGAGTAAATTAATTCACATCAAGGTGTGAATGGATGATGAGTTCCAGAATCTTTTCTCGTTCTGCTTCTATAACGTCAAGTAAAAAATTGTCAAAGCAATGGGGAAAGTAAAGGTAGTTGGGGGTATGACAAACTTTGGTAACGCCCCTAAAATCAGCAGCTCTCATTCCTCTCCAAGACTAAAATGGGATCCACTGAACTAGTCTCGTATTTCTTTTGTATGTCATTATATTTAGCTGAGAGCTAGACTTAAATCAGTGCTCAAAAAAGTACGTTTTGGTTGCCTAAGAAAATAATGGTTCTGTGTACCTCAAGTTTTTTTTTATTAAGTTAATCTCTGTTGGAATAAAGTTGGAATTTATTTAGCTCAAGTTAGAGATTTATCAGAATTTTCCTACATGTTCTGACCTGACATCCTCCTGGAGAGAACTAATGACACATACCCAATATTTTGCTTCTCAAAGTACCAAAGGGCTTATTAAGAATGAGAATCTCTGGTCTCATCCCAGACCTTCTGAAATAGAATCTACACTTTGACAAGACCCTCACATGATTTGTTTGCAAGTTAAAGTTTGAGAATCATGGGAAGGGTTATTATATTGGGGAGGAATTGGAGAATCTGCACCTTATTATTTAAGGTTACCCGAAGAATTTTCTGGTGAAATCTTAAAGATCGCTTTGCATTTGGGGAGGCGATTTGGGCCTAGAAGCAAGAATTAAATGTGTGTGAATTAAATATACACACACGCACGTGCATGCACACACACACACACACACACACAGGCATTATCTCTGCCCTGCAAGATTTTGCAATCTAGTGAAAGACAGATATGTAAAAAAAGCAGCCATCATCCATTGTGATGGAACAATAACGGTGGCAGATTCAGGTGTGAGGGAAGGATAGAAAACATTACTGGGTTTAACTAGGAAATTCAGAGGAAGTTTGGCAATGGAGATAGAATAGTCAAGAGCCTTTCAGTTTTCAGTTTCAAGGCAGAAAACTATTTCAAAGAGTGACAAGCAAGTGACATCTGTTGCATGTCACCAGGAGCAGAAGTTCAAACACTTCTGTCCACTGCATCTTGGTATCAAAATCACCAGAAAAACACAACTCAGTCAGGCACCGGATGGGACAACACTTCACTCATACAGAAGGGAAAGAGCAAGAATCAGCTCCAAGGGTGGGCATCGGTCCCTCAGGGCGAGCAGGTCCCTCTCAGCAGCAGATGCGGGGCAAATGTCCTGTATGCATCCTTCTCGTGCTGCGGTATAAGGAGTCAGTCCCCTCCCCTAAGAGGAAGGATATCGTAGTAGGCTTGGCCAGGTGCCACCACGCACATGGTTAAGCTGAACAAAGGAGCACACGTGGAATCTGAAACAGGGAAAGATACTCCCACACAGGGTGATAAGCCCGGCACAGGCTGTGAGGACCCTCTCTCTCTTGGCAAGGAAATGTTCCAAGCTCACAGCCCATTCTTACATAGTCAAGTGGAGGTCAAAAGACTGCCTACTTGAGTGCTTGAGACGACCTTCCCCAAGAAAGAGGCTTAAACCGAAAAAAGGAATCTATTGTTTCATGTAACTAAACAATCCAGGGGTAGTTGGCCCCGGGTATAGCTATCTGCAGGAGCTGAAATCCTGTCCTCAGAGATCCAGTTTTCTCCATTTCTTGTGCTTCCCTCTGCTTTAGCTTCATTCTTAGGCAAGTTCCCTTTAGGAGTTTATCACAGAATGTTAAGGCTTAAAATTAACTTTTCAGGATTCTGAAATTATTTTTAAAACTTTCCATTGGCCTGGCTTGGGTCATGTGACCACCTCTGAATCAATCACTATGGGCAACAAACCTAGACTTAAATCCCCACTCCACTGTTACTAGCTTGCTTTACTGAAGTGAGTCTCAGTGTTCTCCATAACACAGCAGATAGTAATGCCCAGTTTGTACTAGTAAGGTCAGTGAAGGCTCACTAATGGGTAATTTTGGTTATCATCACCATTATGGACCTGTATTCCAAATGGAACTGACTTCATTTTTCAGCATGAGGAACTTCTATTTGTGTTTTCTAAACAGTCTTCCTCGCTTATACATATGTGAAGCCCAACCCTATAAACACCTGTATCTGTTCAAGGTACACCCTCGAAAGGAAGGGCTGCTATCACACCAGTTGGCCCAGTGTGTGACAAGAGCCACTGGAAGGCACCAGGCAAGGCAGGTTAGATTTCAGACAGATTTTTAGATAACGACTTTTTTAAAAGAAGAAAAATTTGAAACCCTCAGGGCCACAAAGATTTAAAACATCATTTGTGTGTAATTCTGTACATGCTTCCAATTCTGATTTGAATCCTGACCCTACTCCATGGAAAAAGGTTTGCAAAGAATTTTTTCTGCTTTGAGGCCAGGATCTGGATTTCTATTACTCCTTCCACCTCTATCACTCCTTCCATCTTGTTTTCATTTGTCCAGGTGGAACCTGGTCACATCCCACCCCCATTTCCACGTGGGCTTTCGATAGATGAGCATCCCCAAAAAGGCCCTCCCTGGGCTCTACTAGATGAGGCTTGGGTAGAGTAGAGGCCATAAAATGATGTGCCTTTGAAACCTCGCAGGACCCTGTGGGGCTCTGGGCACGGAAGCCTTTCTGTGTCCCTCGTTTCTTGTTTCTAGGGAATAGGCTTCAGCCTCCATGACCTTCCCTGAGTTCCAAAGGGCAGGTTCAAATGGCTGTTAATCAGGGAAGGGAGGGGATGCAGAGACAAGGGAGGAGCAGTCTAAAAACAGTACTGCAGCCTTGGGGCAGGGTCCTGGTTCCACTTCAAGGGATACATATTACAATATCTTTTAAGTCTTCTGCAGAACTAAAAGCCCCAACAAATGGAAAATGTTAACTACTTGATGAAGCGTTCTTCATCTTCAGAGAGAAGGTCACAGTTTGATAACCTTGAGAACCATAGCAGCTCATCAGGAGAACACCTGAGGCCAGATTAAAGGAGTGCAGGCCCTGCACGCACCCTGATCCTTATCAGCAACTCCGCCCTTGAACCATTGCTATAAAACTCCTCACCAAATCCCTCCAGGTTGGGGCACACAGTTTTGAGGGCATGAGCCCACTGTGTTCCCCTCTACCTGGCAAAGCAATAAAGCTGTTCTTTTCTACTTCACCTAAAACTCTGTCTCCAAGATTCAATTCAGCACTGGTACACAGAGGCCGAGTTTCAGCATCAAACTGGGCGCCCAATGAGGGGCTGCTTGGGGATGGCCCCACAGAGGTCCCCTGGCTCAATCGGATGCTCTGAGGTTTCCTCCATGCCAGCCTCTTTCAAGAGAGCAGGGTTTGGAGAATTCCTTTAGAGGCCAGATCACCTGGGACCCTTGCCTGGAAAGGCTGAGCGCCAGTCACACCTGGTCCACCCTCCCAGCAGAGGAACTCCAAGGTGGGAGTGGAGAATGGAAGAGGGACCATCCTAACAACTGTCAAGGTCACCTTCAGCATCACCTTGGCCAGCTGGAGGAGCAAAAAGGTGGACACAGTCCTTACAAATATAAATTAATTCAGAATGCATCCTATGGAAAGGAGATAGGACAAGTGTCTGGGACATGACTGGCCATAGGTCCATATCAAGCCAAGTAGACCAGGGTTCAAGCCAGGACCTCCACACACGAAAAATCTGATGGCAAATCATCTCCTTATGCTTCTATTGCCAACATTAATTATTCACACAGATTTAATCCTTCCCCCATTGCAGTCAAAAACAGCTGTCAATGGATGATGTGTTTGAATTTAAACTATTATTTCTCAGCAATTAATGGAGTCTCAACTAATATTTTCAGAGACAGATCAAGGAAAAACGTCTTGCTTATGCTAACAAAAGTTTATCCACAGAATACATATAAATACTTTGCTAAGAAAACAGAAAAGCTAGATGATAAATACAGCCAGCCTGCTGAGATACAGATATCCATTCTCAGAAAATACCTAAGAGAAAAGGGATGGGGGGCTGGGCGCTGAAAAAGGGAGGGTGAGAGACTGCTCCCATCAGCAGCATTACCTATTGTTTGAATCACTGGAATCTCCTCCTCCTCCCCTGGTTCCATCTTTCCACTTTAAAGGAAAGTGCTTGCTGTAGGATTAGGCTAACTTTCCTATTTAATAGAAGAAAAAAGGAAAAACAAAGGAGAAACACCAAATGCATAACAATGATGACCTTCAAACTGCTGAGCTTAGAGCTCTAGCCTTTGCTCTGTGCTTGTAGCAATCTCTCAATAACTGATTAAAGGATTAACCACGCAATTTGTTCAAAAGAACACAAGATTTATATACTTATAAGGTCTGGGAAGACACACACCTGAATTAGCATAACAATAACCTACACCAGAGGAGTCAGACAGAAAAGTAATTCACATTTATAGTCTGAATGTTAAAAGTAACTATAAAGTAGAAAAGAGTCTACGTTGCCACTAGCTCCCACAGCATTAAGCGGTGCGAGTTGGTTTTATCTGTCCTTCTCCAACAAACAGGTCTAATTAGAAATGAAAATCGTGCATCAGTCACATGCAGGTTAATGACTGACAGATCTACACGTTTTATCTGGGGATCTTAAAGAGATTCCATCTGATTCTAACTGGCATGAAAAAAGGTGAATTCCCAGCTGCAACAGAGCAGAGAGGATGTTAGGCATTACCCAGGGTTCCGAAGAAGGTGGGCCAGACTGGGCTGGAAGGGTGTCATTAAGAGCTGTGAGCTCACCCAGGGGAGGCAGGTGCTAGACAACCTAACCCCAGGCCTTCGGTTTTAATCTGTCTCCACCCTCTACTGTGCAGAGCTGTTTACTCAGAAGGACAAGAATCACATTCTCTGTATCAGTACAAGGGAAACACGCCCTCTTGGCGAGGGTCAGGTGACTGCGTTCAGGTATGGAACTGGTGTGTTGGCCCCAGAGGAGTCTTCCGGAGCAAGTCCCTGCAGGCAGACGTGCCCCTGGGAACAGGCAGTCGGCTTCAGGCTAATCTGTCTGCCAAAGCCTGAGAGTCCTCACACCGAGATGAAAGGGCCAGGGAGAACTCACCACCACAACTCCTGACCTGCCGCTAATTCCACATTGTGAGGACTGACCTCTGGCTGCAGGTTCTAATCCCTAAGCAGGGTTTAGTAAAGTAAGTGAGGAAAGAAAAGAAGAGTTAGGATTTTGGTATCGGACAGTATGACTGGATGCTAAAAAAGCATCCCTAGAAGCAAGCCAAGGTAAAGTACTAATGTGAATCCTATTTTATCAGGTGTGCCTGACTTTCCTCTGGGGTAGGAGATATTTCACCCATCCTCCCCTCTCTTCCTCCGTCTTTTCAGCCAAGTGACTTAGTCAGTCCTTAACTTGATCTTAAACTTCGACTCCTCAAGGATGTCTCGCCCACAGGATTTCGTCCCTCTCCTCTGCCCTTCCAAGCCTGAATGCCCTCACCTCCTTCAGAATTCAAGTTCCCATTCTCCACTTAGCTATTCCAAGCCGGTTGGTCCTGCCTGGGCTTCCCTGTTCTTTCCCTGAACCCACTCCTACGGCTCTGCCAGACAGCCTCTGTCTTCCAAAGCCTGTCTCGGGTTCACCTCTGCAGAGAAGCCTTTCCAGAAATTTCGACCTGACTCTACGACAGTAACTTTAACCAGCTCCCCTGAGCGGCTGCCCATTCATCTGACTCCGGGTTGGGTTGGGTTGTTTCACTGTGTCTTTATGAGTGAGTATCATGTGCCTCATCATGGGGTGTCCCCCCACACACCCCACTGAGGGCCCTTTACTGTGCTCTGAACTTCCTCAGCCTCCAGCACTGAGCACTGTGAGGCCTATAGTACTGGCCGGTCTGTCTGGGGCTAAGTGGGTTTATCAGGGACACCCAGAGACAAGCTAATCCGATTAATAACAAGCTCAACACAATCAAGCTCATCATCTAATGTCAGCCACGAATCCACATGTATGGAGGGAACGCAACGGACGAGTTTTTGCTGGTGTGCTTGGCTGGGCTCCCATGGAGACAGACCGCGTTGTTCTACCACACCACTTCCTGATTCTTTTAAAACTCCACTTGAATCTTCCTTCTGTGCTGTCAAGATATATAGGCCTGTAATCACAGGAATCCCAGTCTCTCAAACCAGAATGCAGTGGCATAGCCTAACAGGGGAATTTTTCCTATTTGACACTAGAAGTATCCCAAGGACATAAAATGAAGTCCTCTTTCTTTTTACATCAAGCAAATCACCGATCATCTTTCCAGGAAAGAATAAAAAGTATATTAATTTGAGAACTTAGGAAAATCAAAAGCATGTGATCACCACAGGTAAAGCAAAGAAATCCTCCTTAATTCCAGTAATTCTTTCAGTGTTATGGTCATCTAGAAAATATGCCCAGTGAGTGGGAAATAGGATTCTGGGATTAGCCAGTGAGGCACTCATAGATTTGTTTATTCTGAGTCTCTGACCCAACCCCTTTGCCACAGAAGAAAAACGTGAAAGTGGGTGAGTCTTTTGGAACGAATTCCTGGCACACCATCAATACTAACCGGAACACCAAGGAGGCTTGAGACTGTCTGACTGTCTGATAGTGGACCAGAGCCAGCTAAGGGGACAACCAGAAACAAGTTCAGAGCTTCAGTGAATAGGAAATAAGCAAAGGGGATGAGGGGAGGTGTTGGAGATGGGGGCAAAAAGACATCAAGGCTAACTCAGACAGAGGTTGGGCCCCACTAGCGGCTCTCATCCTCACAGACGCCAGAATACCGCTGGGGGCTTTACAATACAAGAAGAGCCAACGTGGATCCTTTTTTGTGCCGATCAATGTGACTGCCCAATAGGACTGCTTGAAAACCATCACAAAAGTGAAAAAGGTTCTCAAACCCCGCTCTTCTCCATGATCCCCAGCCTCTTGGAAACAAGTTACCAAACAAACAGGTTACTTACATAGCAACCTCAATCTCAAGAGTTAGCTTTATGGAAGTATTTGTTTTTTAACACTTGTCTCAGACACAGTGGATTTAGACCATTTGGTTTTTATAAGGCAGTAGAGGAGAGGTTCCAAGGAGATATAGTCATGATTTACAACATGAAACCATTTTTCTGATCATTTTCCACTAAAGGGAGGAAAGAGATTGGCATAAAGCAGTTTCCAAGGTCAGAGACTTTTCACTCATGGGCAAACCGGATTCCTGGCATCAGAGAATTTTAAAGCTAGATAGGGCACTTGAGATCATCTTACCAACTTCCACATTTTCCAGATGAGGAACCAAAATCAGAGATCATCAGCAATTTTCACAAGGTGACATAGTGTTATTGGCAAAGCCAAAATTAAAATAAAGACCTCCAGACTCAACATACATACTCAGCTATATCTGGTTACCTTCTTCCTATTAGCTGACAAGCCATCCTGGCAAATCATCTCTAGGGAAAATACAGCGGCTATTGTCTTGAAGAACATAGGCTGGCTGACGGCTACCTCAGTCTTATAAAAATCCCACCAACCTCAATATTCCCAGTTAGATTAGCAGTTTGACAGTTTCCATTTGTGAAGGTACAGGTATCTTTAATATGTGAAGTTATTCATTTCTGCCACAAACATAAGCAGATTCATTATTTTTCTAAATACTAATATTATGAGAGAACCCACCTATGGAGCTCCCCCCAGCACCGAGAAAACCCTCACAAACTTCTAGAGAGGCATCAGCTTACACCAAGTGTCTCCAGGACAAAGAAACCACCTAGAGGATGCATGCATACTAAATTAGGCATTCAAAATCAATTTTTTACAAATATTGATCAACTCAGACAAAACACATCTTCCAAATCAACTGATGGTTTATGACCCTGGGTACAGCATTTCTAAGATAATTTTTCAACGTTTAGGTAATTCAGTTTATTATAAAAGGACAACTTCATTACTTAAGTAAAAAGATGGAACTCTGAAGAGCCACAGCTGTAAGGCATTCAGGCTCTTCAGTTTCTTGAATGTTCCAGCTTTTCTGTGCTCACCGGTGCTGCCCTGCGCCTCACACACATTTCCTGAGCCTGGATAAGGAACAGCTGCCACTTAACCCTACATTAAACGTTGGTGGTAAATGCTGAAATTCCACGGCTCTCCCTTTCATGTTGTTATTTGAGCAAAAAGACAGCTGCTCACTGTTACACTCAAGACACCCATTATCCTTGGCTCTATGCGGTTCCCTCCAGTGTGCAATAGCATTTGGCCTGCATTGGTGAGAGTGAGCTAAACTTCCACTCCATGAACCATGGTCCTGCATGTCAACAACCCATTCTTTTCACACTTTTCCATGGTTTCCTTCTCCCAGTCCCATTTCCCTGTAGCCCCATCTGCCTCTCTGTTTTTATTTCTTGAAAAAAGAGTGATGAAAGGGAAGTTAAGAAGGACAACAGAGGCTACAACGGGTACAGTGAGCATGGCTGTTCAAGCCCCCAGTAATGCTCACTGGACAGGGTTTGTGTCACCTGGATTTTTCAAATATATTGGGGTGTGTGTGGTGTGTGTGTGTGTGTGTGTGTGTGTGTGTGTGTGTGTGTGCTGGACATTCTTTGACTGTTTCAAAGACCTGACACACACAATTTATTCGGTGAAAGTTTATTAAACTGAATGGAATGCAGTGGGATTTGCATTCATTTATTTTGGGCTAAGGTGACTAGATACATCATTTCCAGCTTATTTTAATACTTCTCTGGACTTTTTTATGACTATCCCCAGAAATTATTTCCTGGTTGTTCACATGCTGCAAATCTATATTGTAGGACAAAGGGAGACGGGAGAAGAAAATCTGAGCAAAAGGAATAGAGCTAGAGAAAATAAAAGTGGGAAGAAACAAGACATATAATAGGAAAAGAATAGACCAGAATTGGTCCTGTTTCTTATACAAGGTTCAACTAACTCTTTGAGACTCAATTTCCTTATCTCTAAAAATGGAGGATATGGTATCTGACTAATAATGTTGGTGTAGAAGACAAATGGTATAGTCTACACAAAAGGGCTTTAAATACCATAAAACACTAACAAATGTAAGGAATAATTGTTATAGTGGCTGAATGGTTGAGAACATGGTCAAACTGCCTGGGTTCATCTAATCCTAGCTTTGCTTCTTATTAGCTGTATGCCTTTGGACAAATATGTTAATCTATCTGAATCTGATTACCTTCATCTATAAAATGGGAATAATTATAGTAGCCACTTCTCATAGGGTTTTTTAAAAACAAAATGAGAAAATCCACGCCATAAACCTAATGCAGTACTTAGAAAAACTTACAAAGTATTCAAAACTGTTGGCTATTTTAATCATTGTTATTATTGTAATAGCTTAATAATAATAAGAAACCATGCACCTTGTTCTAGATAGTATATGTATCACTATATGTATATATGTATTTCAGTTTATATATATATAATAAATGTAATATTATATATATATAACTTAATGGCAGAAAAAGATGATAATTGTCTCTTGGGTATGGAATCATGGCACAGAGGTCTCCTTACCCTAGAACTGCCAGGCTTAGCTCAGTCCTCTCATGCTGATTCATGTTCTCATGTGAGACATGTATTCTCCTATTGCAAAATTTCCCCTCTGCCCTATGTCCATCAAAATCACATTCCTTTCTTTCCAGGCTAAGAAGAGGGTAAGGACTAGTGGAGGAGGTATGACTGTGGCAGCTCTCTGTACCTTCTGGTCGATAAACACCAACAATTCTGCAGTGTTTTCCAACACCAACAACTAATTCTCTGATTCTCCAG